GGGAAAGGGGGGTAAGGGAAAGGGGGAAATGGGGGAAAGGGGGGAAAAGGGGAAAAAGGAAGGAAAAGGGGGAAAGGGGGAAAAGGGGGAAAAAAAGGAGGAGAAAAAAGGGGGGAAGGGAGGAGGAGAAAGGGAGAAAAAGGGGGGAAGGGAGCGAAAGGAGAAAATGGAACAAAGAAGGGTAAAGAGGGAAAAAAAGGGAAGAAAATGAAGGGAGAGAAAGAGGAAAGGGAAAAAGGAGAAAGAAGGAAAAAAGGAAGGAGAAAAGAAGGGGGGGGTGGAACAAAGAGGGGGAAAAGGAAGGGAAAAGATAAAGGGAAAAAGGGGGAAAGAGGGAAAAAGGAAAGGGATAAAGAAAAGGGGGAAAATCGAACAAAGAGGGGAAAATGGGGAAAAGAGGAAAAAAAGGAAAAAATGGAAGGGGGAAAAGGAGGAAATAGGAAAAATGGAAAAAAAGAAAGGAGAACAAAAAGAGGGAAAGGGAGAAAAGGGGAAAATGGAATAAAGATGGCGAAAGAGGGAAAAAGGGAAAGGGGGAAACAGGAAGGAGGAAAAAAGGAGGAAAAGGAAAAATGGAAGGAAAAGGGAAGGAGAAGGGGAAAGGGAAAGGGAAAGAAGGGGAAAAGGGGGAAAAAAGGAAAAAATGGGAATAAAGGGAGAAAAAGGGAAAGAGGAGAAGGAAAGGGGGGGAAAGGGAATGGAAAAAATGGGGAAAGAATAGGAAAAGGGTGAAAAATGGAAATAAGGGGGGAAAGGAAGGAGAAAAGAGGGAAGAAAAAGTGGGGAAAAAGGAGGAAAAAAGGGTGAAAAAATGGGGGGAGAAGGGGGAAAATGAGGAAAAGAGGAAAGGAAGGGAAGAAAAGGGAAAAAAGGGGAAAAAAGGGGGAAAAGGAAGAGGAAAAAGGGGAAAAAGGGGGGAAAAGAAAAAAATCCCCTCTCCACCTATAAATGAATGGAATTTTGAGCTGGAATTGAGAAAAATTCCCCATTCCCATTTTGAATTTTTCCAACACTTTTTTTTTTTTTTTTTTTTAGGGAGAAAACCTCTGAGGCACCTGAGAAGAATCCTGGAATAAATCCTGGAATTCTGAAAGGATGAAAGGGAGATTCCAGAAATCCCAAAAAAATCCCATTCCGGGGATAAAATGGGATTTATCCCAGCCTGAAATGCTCAGGAATGAGCACTCCCAGCTCCCAGTTAATGAAATTCCAAAGAAAATTAGGGTAAAATGAGGAAAAAACTTGGGCTAATGAGAAAAAACTCACATTGGGATCAGAATCCTTGATGAGGGACAGGAAAATCTCTTCCTTTAGGGAGAGAAAAAAGGGATCGAAGCTTAATTAATAATAAATAAAAATTGACTAATAATTAATAATTGAACTAATCAATCATACTTAAAATGTTCATCATGTCAAAATCCAAAAGAATATTTCCCAGGATCAATTCCCAGGGGGAAAATCCCTTTTTTTAAACTCCAGGAGTGCTAAAAATTCTATTTAAATTCTATTTAAATCCCAAATCCTGATTGAAGTGGAAAACTGGGGATTTTGTTCCCAGTTTTTCCCACAATTCCCAAATCCCCACATTCCCCACAATTCCTCCAATTCCCACAATCTGCAAATTCCCAAATTCTCACAATTCTTCACATTCCCACAATTCCCAAAAATGCCCCAATTTCCCTCAATCCCCCAAATTCCCCAACTTTCCTCAATCCCACAATTCCTAAATTCCCACATTTGCACAATTCTCAAATCCCCACAATCCCCCAAATTCCCAACTCCCCCAATTCCTACAATCCCCATAATCCCCAAAATCCCACAACTTCTCCCAGTCTCACAATTCCCAATTTTCCCCAACTCCTAAAACTCCCCCAAATTCCCAAAATTCCCCAATTTCTCTCAATCCCCCAAACTCCCCCAATCCCAATCCCCCAATTCCCCCAAACCCCCCCAATTCCCCAATTCCCCAAACTCCCACAATTCCCCAATTCCCCCAATCCCCAAAATTCCCCCAATTCCCCAACTTCCTTTGATCCCCACAATCCCCCAAATCCCCCAATTCTCACAATCCAATTCCCCCAAACCCCCACAATTCCCCATTTCTCACAATCCCCAAATTCCCCAA